TAAATTGTTCAGATGATTAGCCCAGGTCATGATCTCATGGTTCTTGAGTTTGAGCTCTGTGCTGACAGCTCAGAGCCTGGAGCCTGTTTTGGATTCTGTGTCTCCCTCTCTCTCTCTGCCTTTCCTGGCTCTCCCTCTCTATCAAGAATAAATAAACATTTAAAAATTAAAATAAAATAATTAAATTGTTCAGGTGAGTCTCATGCCTTCTCATTCTTAAAAACTTAAAATGTGTTTAAAAGGTTACACTGTACAGCCACTATGGAAAATAGTATGATAGATCCTCAAAAAATTAAAAATGAAACTACCATATGATCCAGCAGTTCTACTTCTGGGAATATATCCAAAGGAAACAAAACCACTAACTCAAAAAGATATGCACCCCCATGTTCACTCAGCATTATTCACAACAGCCAAGACATGGAAACAACCTAAGTGTCCATCAATGGATGAATGGATAAACAATGTTGGTACATAGATATATACACATGCACGCATGCACATATATACATATGTATATATACACATACAAATACACCCACACTCATATATATACACATACACACAATGGAATATTATTCAACCCATAAAAATGAGGAAATCTTGCCATTTCCAACAACATGAATGAATCTCAGGTGAAGGCATTATAACATAGTGAAATCAGTCAGAGAGAGGCAAATATCGTATGAACTCACATGTGGAATCTGAATCATAAAACTCATTAGAAAAAGAGATCAGTTGGGGCGCCTGGGTGGCTTAGTCGGTTAAGCGTCCGACTTTCGCTTAGGTCATGATCTCGCGGTTCGTGGGTTCGAGCCCCGCGTCGGGCTCTGTGCTGACTGCCAGGTTCAGAGCCTGGAACCTGCTTCAGTCTGTGACTCCCTCTCTCTCTGACCCTCCCCTGCTCACGCTGTCTCTCTCTCCTAGAAATAAATAAAACATTAAAAAATTAAAAAAAAAAAGAAAAAGAAAAAGAAAAAGAGATCAGAGTTGTGGTTACCAGGGGTGGAGGAACACGGGGGAGAGGGAACTGGAGAAAGGTGGTCAAAGGCACAAACTCTCATTTATAAGATGAGTAAGTACTAGGGATGGAAGGCACAACATGATGGCTACAGCCAGCACTGCCAATGGTACATAGGAAAGTTGTTGAGTATAAATCCTGTGAGTTCTCATGACAGGAAAACAGTTTTCCTTCTTTTGTTTCTTTTTATTGTATCTATATGAGAAGATGGATGCTGGCTGAAACTATTGTGGTAGTCATTTCACAATATGCGTAAATCAAACCATCAGGCTGTGCACCTTCAACTTCTACAGTAACGTGTGTCAATTAATTCTCAGTAAAACTGGGGAAAGCGAGGTTACAATGTGGTTTAGCAGTTAAACAGAGTTATTGTATATCCAGTAAGATATGGAAACAGAGGAGCACAGCAAGAACTCGACATTAGTGAGGGCAGTGGTTATTACTCAAAAATGACCACCATTCCATATTTTCTTGCAAAACAACCATATTTCCATATTTTCCTGGAAAACAACAGCCAGGTGTCTTAGGGGTCTGGGAAAGGAAGAGTCCCAGGGGTGGACGTAGCTGTGTTATGTTTGATTACCGAGACGAGAGCCAAGTGATTGCCAGTCACACGTGAAGTAAGAAAACGCCTGTGACAAAGCTGCCAGAAGGAGTATCTGGAGCTTGGAAAGAAATTCTGGATACAGTAGTGGATAGTCTTGTAAGAAATGGTGCATCACTATACTCCTGATAGCACAGAAGGTGCTGTGTAGGAAAATATCAAGGACTCTGAATAAAAAAAGAAATTTAGGGAAGAGCCTGGGTGGCTCAGTGGTTTAAGTGTCCAACTCTTGATCTCAGCTCAGTCCTTTCTTTTTTAATAAAATTTTTAGAAGTTTATTTTATTTATTTTTGAGAGAGAGAGAAATGGACAGAGTGCAAGCCGGGAGGGGAAGAGAGAGAGAGACACATAGAATCCTAAGCAGGCTCCAGGCTCCAAGCCCTCTGCATAGAGCCCGATGTGGGGCTTGAACTCATGAACTGCAATATCATGACCTGAGCCAAACTCAGACACCTAACCGACTAAGCCACCCAGGTGCTCCTCAGCTCAGGTCTTGATCTCAGGGTCATGAGTTCAAGCCCCACATTGGGCTCTGGCTGGGCATGAATCCTGCCTTAAAAAAAAAATCAAAAAGAAATTTAGGAAAGTTGGACTCTAAATGTGAACACATTTGGGGACTGTGTTAGCCAATTTGTTTTACCTCTCATTTTCATTTTGATACATGCACAAGAGTGATTTTGACTTAAGAAATTGATATCTAAATAAATCTGAAAGACGTCTTTCATTACATACAAAACAAAAATTGGTAAGAAAGCATTTTGGGGATCAGTTTCCTTCACTGTTTTTTTTGAAAAATATTTTTCAAAGTTTATTTATCTTTTTGATAGAGAGCTCAAGCAGGGAGGGGCAGAGAGAGAGGAGGGGGGACAGAGGATATGAAGCGGGCTCTGAGCCGACAGCAGTGAGCCCAACACGGGGCTGGAACTCAAAAACTGCACAATCATGATCTGAGCCAAAGTCAGACGTTCAACCGACTGAGCCACCCAGGTGCCCCTTCCTTCACTGCTTTTAAAAATTATTTTTAACTGTGGCAAAATACACATAACATAAACCTCCCATTCCAACCATCTGTAAGTGCCAGGTAAGTGGTGCTAGTACAGACACTTTATTGTGCAATCATCACGATTCATCTCCAAGAAAGCATCTCTGTAATACTCATTAGTGGTGCATCAGACAGCTGATGGCCCCTTGGAGCTCATAAGACACGGCCTGGTGGTCACTGTAGACAAAATACAGCCCCCCCCCCCCGCCCCGGGGGACCTCCACTGCCCACCAGGAACCACAGCTAAAACCCCGGACTTTGACAGGAATAACTTCTCCCTCCCTGGCTCAAAAGGAATGTACTGCACAAATAGCCCAGTCATGGTTAGTGCCCAGTCTTGGGCCCAGACCGGAACGGGAACAAGTCTTAGTCTCTCTGGACTTCAGGTTCTAATATGTAAAGTGAGATCCATAGACAAGATGACCTCTATGAGCCCACTGGGTTCTAAATTTATGACTGTGACTGAATGACGACACACACATGTACACACACATACACACGATACATGCGCACACACGTACATGAACACACACATGTGCACACACATACACGCATATACATACACACCCCACATACATGGGTGTATACATACATGTACACATATATGCATAACACATGCATATTATATACACACGTGCATATACCCACACATACACAAATTTGGGTGAGGAATTAATGGGTTACAGAGAGAAGCTGTAACACCTCTTCTGTGTTTATGGGGAAGTAAGAGATTATCACTTGATTAGATGAAGGGAGGTCCTGCCCAGAATCAAGGGTCAGCAGGCCACTCCCCCTCTCTGTTGCTCAAGATCATAAACACCTTGAACAAAGAGGAGAGGCCAGAAGGGATGCATGGTCCACTAAGGGGCTCCACTCTGCATCTCCTCCAGGCTTCTGTTCCTGGGACTATGACTGGGGGCCCGCTGGACAGGAGGTAGAAAAGAGTCTGGAGCCAGTCTTCCTAACTGCACTCTGAGCCTGACCCTACCTTTGAGTGCTCAGGAGAGGGAGCTGGGCCAGAAGGATTAGGGGAGAGCAGGGGGGTGTGGCCTGGGGACTCCCAGACCTAAGTGTCTCCTAGATCCCAAGCCAAGGCAGCACTGACAGTGGGAGGTGGCATTGCCCAGATGCTGGGCTGAGTGGGCACTGACGCCAAAGAGTTGCTTATCAATCACTGCACCCTCCCTGAGCCTGCACAGCTGACTGCCTCACAGAAACGTCCTGCCCATGTGGCCTGGGTGGCTCTGAGCTCCAGGGGGTGCCTACAAACTGTCACAGCTTCTGGGACCCTGCCGTGTGAGTTTAGGGAGAACTGTTCTCCTCCTCAGAGTCTAAATACCGCTATGAATAAGAGTTGGTATTAATTAACGGCTTGCTATGGGTCAGTGTGGCTCTGAGCACTACATTCGCTTAATCCAAATCCCAACCCCATGTAAGTTTACTATCCCTTGTTTACAGAGATGGACAAAAAAGGGTAAATCACAGAGATGGGGCAGGGTGATGCTGGAATGGAAGCCAAAAGCTTCCTCCATCAGCCCCAGGTTGACCCCAGGCCCCAGGGCCAGGGTCCCAATGCCACCAAACCACCCCCTGCCTCTAGGCTATGGGAGCTGCTCTTTGGCTGGGGTTCCAGGGAGGAGATAAAGCTTAATAACTTATGGGTAATTGACTACAAGAAAGCCAGCACTGAAGAGACAAAACCTTTATGCCTTGGAAGGTTCATGTCACATGCCAACCAGTTGTTTTCCATCCCCTTCAAGAGGGAATAATTGGAGGTTAACGACAGAAAGAACTTTCCAATCATGAGAAGGGGTAGCATTGACATCCTCTTTCGTGGTCAGTTTTGGGTGAGGTGTTGTCCCTGTCTTGACCAACAATTAGGGTCAGAGGGAGGGAGTATGGCACAAGCTCCTTAGAGAATCTCCCTTCACAGACCCAGTGGGGGTAGGGGAGGCCCTGGGGCAGCAGCCCTGGGGTAACCAGGGAACAAACACGGAAAACCAGGGGACGCTAGTCCTTATCTGGAGCTCATTAATGGGGAACATTAGTCAGCTGTGAAGGCCAAGATGGGGTGATAGGCATGCGGGTGGGCAGGGGTGGGGAGTGGGGGCAGGAGAAAGCCATCACAGAGACAAGGTAATGGCCCAAACTCCACCCCTACCTCACGTGTTCAAATCCAGGCTGGAAGAACCTTATAAATGCCCATAGCACAGCCTCCCCAGAGACCCTGAGAGAGCAAGAGAGCGAGAGAGAGAGTGAAAGCCCGGGAAAGAGCACTCCACAAGCTTCCTTCCACTGCGACTCCCAGGCCAGCCCACGGAAGGCCTCACAGCATGTGGGAACTCCGGTCCATAGCCTTCTCCAGGGCGGTGTTTGCAGAGTTCCTGGCCACACTCCTCTTCGTCTTCTTTGGCCTCGGTTCGGCCCTCAACTGGCCAAAGGCTCTGCCCTCTGTGCTGCAGATCGCCATGGCCTTCGGCCTGGGTATCGGCACCCTGGTGCAGACTCTGGGCCACGTCAGCGGGGCTCACATCAACCCGGCCGTGACTGTGGCCTGCCTAGTGGGCTGCCATGTCTCCTTTCTCCGAGCCGCCTTCTACGTGGCTGCCCAGCTGCTGGGTGCTGTGGCAGGGGCTGCTCTGCTCCATGAGATCACACCACCAGACATCCGAGGGGACCTGGCTGTTAATGCAGTGAGTAGCCAGAACTTCACCCTTTCCATAAGGGGCAGATCCTGGGGAGTCTCTGGTAAAGGGTGAGATGGGAGAGACCAGTTCTGGGTGAAAGTCTGGGTGGGGGAAGAGAGAGATGGGGGGAGGGAGAGGTGCTGAAGCCAGGAACACAAGTGTCATAAGGAGTCAGGGCAGAAGGAGCAGGAAGTTCAGAGCAGAGGCAGGATACATGCAGGTCTGCCAGCACCTTCTGCCCTGAGCCTCATGGAGGAAGAGAAGCATCAGGGTTTCTGTTGACTTGATGCATGCAAGACAGTGGGGCTGGGCTAGCAAAAGACAAGGTCCCATAGCAGATGTGCTTTCTAAACCGGGAGGAACAGCAGAGCACTAGACCCAAGGGTCTTCTCAAGGGAAGAAGGACCCAATACTTCTTCAGCACGGCAGGTGCTCCTCACAAGCCACATGCTGACACCTCATAACAACCCTTCAAGGTAGGGATGCATATATTTATTGCTTAAGGATGTGGAAACTGAGGCTCAGAAAGGGGGAAGTGCCAGAGCCAGCCTTCAAACTCAGGCTTGACTGCAAAACCCATGATCTTTCCACCTAACCAATGTACCCCCCCTTAGCTATCAACTAAGAACTTGTTCAGCAAACAAGGAAACTGAGGCTCAGAGAAGGAAAAGGTGGACCAGAAGTTCTACAGTTTGTCAGTACCAGGGAAAGCACAGAACTCAAGGGAAAGCTGAAGGGGCAAGGTCTCTCCAAGACCCTGGAGAAGGTCCCCAGAGCCCGTGACTAACTGCTGATTACATGAACAGTAGCTAATTGGACACCTTAGGCATTTTGGAAGCTGGGGGGAGGGGATGCCACATTCCCTCCCCCCCCACGTTCCTGCCCTCCCCTTCTCCTGGTTCTGTGCAGGGCCTGGGCATCTGAGGCCACAGGTGGGGAGGAATAGTCTGTGTCTCCTCAATACACTTCTCGCTCCATGCACTCCGCCCCCATCCCCAGCCAGGGTAGCAAGTGCCTCTTTCATGCCTCAGTCTCCTGCGTTTCTTGGCCTGCTCTATCCCTGGGCCACTAGATAAAAGCTCTGATGTCTCTGAAGAATCCTACACAGTCTCTGTGGCCACCCCCTCCTTTGCACAGGTGGCCCTTTCTTATGCAAGGGGAAGAGGTGTCCCAATTGGGGAATTTCTTTCTCCTTCAAAATGGAAAATATGATGAGGCTGGGGGCTCAGGGATGAGAAAAGGCTAGAGTGGCCAAGATGGTAGACAGATTGAGGAGCGTGACCATGTCCAGTGAGAATGAAATTGGTTCTGTTGCCAGCAAGGAGAGGTCCAGTTAGACTGCAAAAGGAAATTCCTGAGAGTATGGCCAAGAAAGTCCCAGAATGTGTGGCTAGGGGATCTCCTTTAACAGCAGAGTGAGGGGAATGCTGAAGGGCCATTGGGATACTCAATCCTGCTCCTCCATCATTTGACTGTTGGCTGGGGCCCTCAGAAGGGAAGGGTCTGGGAAGGATCCCCCAAGTCACTGCTCAGTATTTATCCTCTTGAGGAACTAAGGAGAACCCTTTTGGCTGGAATGGGACAGCAGGGGGTCTGGGTTGCCCTCAGGGAAGAGAGTTAGATGATCCCCATAGCTGTCCCAGGTGTCCTCTGAGGTCACTGGAAAGGCCAGCTAGCCACCAGTAAGACATCACTAATGTGCACCTACTCTATGCCAGGCTGGATAACACCTACTTCTTGATACAACACTGTAAAATGAATTCCGTGATACCTCTACCTCGATAGGTAAATTAAGGCTCAGCATTCAATTGACTCAAATCACAGAACTAGTTGGTGTCAGCACCTGGAAGTGGACGCAGAGCCGTCTGACACCAAATCCACGTCCACACCTCTCCCTTAGAAAAGCCATTTAACAGTGGGAGTGGGGCTGCAGCTCTGCCCTTGTCAGTTCCAGTCTGTTTTGTTATCCCCATTTTACAGAAGAATGAACTGAGGCTGAAGGAAATAGGGTCCCATGGCAAGTTATAGGCCTCCAAAGTACCTGCCTTCAAAGCTCTTTTCACTGCCCTCCACTAGAGGCTGTAACATTGGATAACACAGTGGGGACTGAGGTTAGATCCTAGAGACCCAAGGGGGCCAGCCCGAAGATCCTAGAGAGACCCAAGGGGGCTAGAACCCAGGGGTGGAGGTTCAGGGCCTGGAGAGGGAGCGTGGGAGCTGAGAGCTGAGAGCTGTCACAGTGCCAACAGGTGCAGTGCCCAGTGCTGTAGGGCAGGGTGTAGGGCAGGATGACAAAACCAAGGGAGAAATCCAGCGCTGGGTGCGGCCCAGTTATGAAATTGCCTCTTTGCTCAGCCCCAAGTTCTCTCATTACCCAAGGCAGGGTCTGCTGGGACCATGGGCAGCCCACATGGGTGTGGAGACATTACAGTACAGGGCACCAGTGCCCCCACCCCAACCTCCACAGAATGTGCAGGGAACAAATCCACAGGGCAAAACTGAGGCCTGAAACGCAGAATGAAGTAGGTAAGATCAAGGGGATCAGGCAAAGGTTAAAGGAAAGAGTTGTACGCTGGGCTCATGGGGTGAGGGGACGCACTAGGACCATCCCCCACCCAAGTCCCAAGACCCTTCCCTGAGGGCCTTGTGCCCACAGGAAGAAAGACCACAGACCTCTTGTTACACCAGTATCTTCATGGCCCTAGAGAGCAAGGAAGGCCTTTCTGTTACCTGGTCTAAAGCTTCCTGCTGCAGTCAAAGCCTCTTCCCTGTTGTTCAGGAAACAAATTCTAGACCTCAGCAACCTTTTTGTCTCATATTAGGCACACGACCACAGCCCCTAAATCTAATGGAGTCAGTTTTCTACCTCTGGCCTTGGGACCACGAGCAGTCCTGGGGTCCATCCCCCTGCCTCTGGGCTACAGCCCAGGAAGAAGCCATCGTTCATTTGGGCTAAGGTAGCTGGTAAGCCCAGGTGTTCCAGTCCCAGCCCAGAAACCTCTCTGGAGCCTCAACTACAGATGGGCAGGAAGATAGAGCCCGAGTGGGGAGCCTGCTCAGTGCCCCCACCCCCACCCTCTGTCTTTCTCCAGCTCAGCAACAACACGACAGCTGGCCAGGCCGTTACCGTGGAGCTTTTCCTGACCCTGCAGCTGGTGCTCTGCATCTTCGCTTCCACAGACGAGCGTCGCGGAGACAACCTGGGCACCCCTGCCCTCTCCATTGGTTTCTCTGTCACCCTGGGCCACCTCCTTGGGGTAGGTCATGGCCACTGATTCCAGCCTCCCTATAGCAACAGACATACAGACCTGCCCCCAAAGAAGCAGACACACCGACCACTCTGGAAATAGACACACAGAACCCCCCCACCCCTTGAAAGTGACAGACACAAAGACCCCCAGAGGGACCAATACACAGAACTCCCCAGAGAGACCAGAAGCTTTGACTCCAAGACACCCCAAAGGAGCAGTTCTCACTCTGGCCTCAAATGAATACAGAGCTCTGTAAACACACAGACTAGTTGCCCATCCTGTGGGTTCCCTTTAGGCTGCAGAGGGGCGCAAGGACTCCCCACACCACCCTCATCCTCTCCCTTCCCTTTCTTCTCTGACCTCTGCCTCCCATTGTAGATCTACTACACTGGCTGCTCCATGAATCCCGCCCGCTCCCTGGCTCCCGCTGTTGTCACCGGCAAGTTTGATGACCACTGGGTAATGGCCAACCTCCCTGCCTTCCCTTCCGTCAGAACCCCATCTCAGCAAGGGCTGGAACGGAGTGGGCTCACAACTCAGTAAATCCTTTGCACTCCTCCCCGGGAGCCTTGGGTTCCTCCCTTGGGTCTGATGCCGAAGACTTAGTTTCCACATCTGCAAGTGAGGATAATAGCAGTTGTTGCCTCATGGGCTTTGTGGAAGAGTCCAGTGAAGTTACTTAAGTGAGGTGTGAAACAGCTCCGCGCAGCGCACTAGAAGCTCCATAAATGATCTTACTGATACTAACACGTATATTTTTATTATTTAGCACTTACCTAGGGCTAGTACGTGCCAGGCCTCATTCTAGGTGCTTCGCAAATATTAACTGCTTTAGCTAATATTTAAAAACGTAGTTAATATTAACTGCTTTAGTTTTCACGGCCACTCTAGGAGGTAGGTGTTATTACAATGAATGGAAACTGAGGCACAGGCAGTCCGCTTGGATTTCGCACCCCAAACCTCCCACTAAGCAGTCCTCCCCGAGAGCTGCGGCTGTCATTACGAAGCCTATCCGCAGGTGGTTGCATTAATCGCCTGGGAGACCGCCTCCCTCCTTTCAACTCGAAGTTGGTGCGGGGAGCGCGTCTCCAGGCTGAAGGGCGCGGGGGAGTCGGGGCTCCGCCCCACCGTCCCGGGCCCCGACCGTCCTCTCTGCCCGCCCCAGGTCTTCTGGATCGGACCCCTGGTGGGCGCCATCCTGGGCTCGCTGATCTACAACTACGTCCTGTTCCCGCCGGCCAAGAGCCTGGCCGAGCGCCTGGCCGTGCTCAAGGGGCTGGAGCCCGACGCCGACTGGGAGGAGCGCGAGGTGCGGCGGCGGCAGTCGGTGGAGCTGCACTCGCCGCAGAGCCTTCCGCGGGGCAGCAAGGCCTGAGCGCGCCGCCCGCGCGGCCCCGAGGCCCCCCGCCCCCGGCTCGGGGGAGCGCCGAGTGACTGCCTGCGGGCCGCCAGCCCCGCCTCTGCTCTCCCCGGATCCGCAGTCCGCCCCGGTACCGAGTAGCCGCTGCCGGGGCTGCGGGGTGGCGGTGAGCCCCGGCGGACCCCCTGTCCCCAGGCTGCAGGCAGCGAGTAGTCAGTCAGTCCCCTTGCAGGGAGCTGGACGCTTGGGGAGGGAAGGCCGGCAGGCAGAGGAAGGCTCTGGAGAGGCCTCATCGGGTACTGCTGGGCAGGGGGTCTGGGAATGGTGCGTCAGGTTTTGCTGTGTGCAAGTATGAGTGCCTCTCTGTCCCCAAGTGCACGGTTGTGCACGCTCCTGAGTGTGAGCAGCTGTGCCTGTGTTGGTGCAAGTGTACTGGCTGGCCACCGTTCACTCCCCTGCGGACCCCTTCTTCCCCTACCCCCAATAAATCCACTTCCTCTGCATCCCCAGGAGCTTTAAGAGAGTGCTCCCCAGAAGAAGGGAAGGGAGGGCCCTGGTTGCCAACCCCCACCCTGCCTCTCCTGGAAAATTCCCCTGGCGCTAGGCCCCAAGATTTGCCAACATCCATTGCTAGACACAGAGAAGTATCAGCCAGAGAATGGCTCCCCCAGAAGTGGCCTCTGGAAAAAGGGAAGGTTGGGTGGCCAAGAATGGCCTGAGAGAAGACCGCTTCAGAGAAGGAAGCAGGCGTGTGTGTGTGCATGCCTGTATGTGTGTGTGCATGCCCTACAAGTGTGCATGAGACCCCCATCTCCAGGGGTCTCCAGACCCAGAGATTAGCCTGTGGCAGAGAAAACAAAAGGCCTCTGTGGGCCCCTGGCCTTTGTCTTGGGGAGAGGAGATTTGCAACCAGACACTTGGTGAAAGGAGACACTCAATTTCGCAAGTGAGCCCTCTCTCCCAGCTCACAGGATGGCCTGGCTGGGCAAGGCATTCAGGCGCCCTCCCCAGGCACAGCCCTTCTTCCCCAGGAATCTCCCTTCCCCTTCCTCCCTTCACGTTTCCACCAGAGGTCAGTTACTGGGGGGAGAGCAGCTCTGACAGCACTGACAGGACCACGGAGGAGAAATGACTTGTCCAGGCAGAGGCAGGTCCGTGTCTAGAGCCTGGGCTTCTAAATTTCCAGACCAGTGCAGTGCTTCTCAAATGAGATTAACTGGGATTAAGTGAGATGATGCATGTAAAGATGCTGTGTGAACTGTAATTCCTCATACCATTATCACGCATTATTGGGATTATTTCATTATTTCCGCTTCCTGCGGGGAGAATACTGAAGGGGCCTGATCCTTAGCCTCTTTTACCTTCTTTAGTTGGTGGTCAGTGCAAAGGAGAGCGCTGGGAGCCCAGCCAGGAGGAGGTGGGTTTGGGGCTGGCCCCGTCCTCAGCCAGCCTCTTAATCTCTCCCGACCCTGAGCACCCCCTGCCTGTTCTCCCATTTTCTTCCACCACTCAGCCCGTCCATTCCCCCCCTCCCTCTCCAGCCTGCTGTGTAGCGACCCTAAGAGTCACATCTTGAGCCCCTTTTCCATGCACTGTTGCCTCTGAGATTTTAAGGCTTTTATCTGTGTCTGTCCCACACTGTGTCCACACCCACCGTGCACCAGCCTCCAGTCCCATCCGACCTCCACTCCCTTCTGAGATGGACTGTGTATGAGGAACATCTGTGGCTGTGACCACTTCCTCATCTATGCTTTTTTTCTCTTTTCCTTGACCAAAGCTCCCTTTGGGGTCACAAAAAGGCTGCCCTGGACCATGGGTGCTATGGAGAGGATTGTTCCAAACCCCAGGCAGCTGGTGACAGCCACCTGGCTCACTGCTCACTACCAGGGAAGGGGTTATATTAGAGACTAAAGAAATAACCTCCAGGGCTGTGCTCCTGGTAGCTGAGTGTCCTTGCTCTGGAAATTCAAAGGCAGAAAGGCACTGAGCTGTGAGCCAAGCCTGAATTGTCTCAGCTACCTCACCCCTACCTCACCCCAACAGATCCCCACAAACTCCTGTCCTGATTGTTCCAATCGGGGCCACTAAGGTCAGAGGTCAAAATAGGATTCAAAGTGAGGAGGATGAGGGGACTGGACACCTACTGAGCATCTCTTGTGCCCCCAACCTGTGTGTTGGGGTTTTATATGCACTGGCTCATCTATTCCTCTTAAAAACTTCAGGTGGGTTAGAGAAGGACAATGGCTTCCAGCTATGCAGGGTTTTAACATTTCCAGCACAATCCCTATCATCTCCTGTGATTATCTGCCAACCCTGTGAGACAGGCAGAACAAATATCGTTCTTCCCATTTTATAGATTAAGGAGCTGCATTTCAGAGACTGGTCTCAAATCACACTGCTGAAAGTAGTGGAGCCAAGACTTGGACTCAGGCCTTCTTTTCAAAATCCCATGGTCTGTCGATGCAGAACTCACAGGAGACGGGGTCTGTCTGGTCTGAGGCAAGTCTTGGTTCCCCCTTGGGAGTCTGTCCAAGCCCGGCCCTCTATCTTGTGATGGACACAGACCCCTGGGGAGGGCCACATCAGGGTAGGGAGAAAAGAACAAAGAACACCAGGCTGGCTTCTGCCCTTGAAAAGCTCCCAGTCTGGAGGAGGATGGAGGTCAAACACACTCAGGACCAGACAGAGGCAGAGCACCAAGGAGGCAGGTGGGTAGGCATCTGGGTCCTTGAGCTGGGGACAGAAAAGGCTTTGAGCTGAAGAAAAAAGGTAGTTAACCACCAGGTCCCAGAAACATCCATTCCCACATCCCCACTTTGTGCCTGCAAGTGTTGCTTTGACGTTTTGTATCTTTAAGCTGTGATTCTGTGTATATGCAGTGCTTCCCAGGCAAGACTGTAAGCCCTTTGGGGGCAGGGCTCCTTCCAGCTCTTGGATGGTATTCTCCTATCTATCTTCCTTCTTCTGTCTTGTCTAGCATGGTGCACTGCAAATAATAAGCACTCAATAAATGCTCATTTGCCAATTCAGTGCTGTTTCTTCCACAACTTAGAAAAGGTCAGTATCGTCCAAAGTGCCAGAAGACAGACTGGCATCTCTAGCATGTCATGAGCTCCCCAGAGCTGCTGTTAGGTATGGTTCAGAAGGAATGTCAATGCTGAATACGCAGCTCAACTAAGGTAGCCTGTGGTGGCAAATTCCCACAGCCGACCTGGCCAAAATGGGCACCGAGACATGGGCAAGCTGTGTGGCCTCCAGAGAGAGCAGAGAACAGCTCCCTTTGGTCCCCTCATGCTGGCTGTAGCAAGGTGTTGGAAAGTCAGGAGCTCCATGGTCTGGATGACACCTAATAATACTCAACGTGTCTGAAACTGACCTGCTCTGATCCCCAGACCAGCTCCTCTCATCATCCTCCCCATCTCAACGTAGACATCTCTGTCTTTCAGCTGCACAGGCCAAAAAGCTCCAGTCACCTTACTCCTTGTTCTCACATGCCACGTGCACTCCATCAGGGGATCCAGTCAGCGCTCCCTTTACGAGGGATCCAGAATCCTTCAGTCCCTCCGCTCAGATCCGGGCCACTGTCACCTCTCCCTGGAAGGAGCCTATCTGCTTTTATTCCTGCCCCTCTGGTCTCTTCTCAACACAACAGCAGAGGAGTCGTGTCAAACTCATTGTCAGAGCAGCTGGGTGGCTCAGTCGGCTAGGCATCTGACTTTGGCTCAGGTCATGATCTTGCAGTTTGTGAGTTTGAGCCCTGCATGGGACTCTGAACTGACAAGGCAAAGCCTACTTCAGGTCCTCTGTCTCCCTCTCTCTCTGCCCCTCCCCTGCTCTCTCTCTCTCTCTCTCTCAAAAAAAAAAAAAAAAAAAAACAACTTTAGGGGCGCCTGGTGGCTTAGTCGGTTAAGCGTCCGACTTTCACTTAGGTCATGATCTCACGGTTCGTGGGTTCGAGCCCCGCGTCGGGCTCTGTGCTGATTGCCAGTTCAGAGCCTGGAGCCTGTTTCAGAGTCTGTGACTCCCTCTCTCTCTGACCCTCCCCTGCTCACGCTCTCTCTCTCTCTCTCCTAGAAATAAATAAAAAACATTAAAAAACAACCAAAAAACCAACTTTGATGGACCACACCAGTCCTCAGCTCAGCGACTCCTTTGGTCTCTCCAGTGGAGCTTGCAGGCCTTTTTGGTGGTGCACAGGTCTGCCCCCCTCCACCGCCTCTGTCTTCATCTCCTGATGCTCTTCCTTGCTCCCTCTGCTCCGGCAACACTGGCTGTTCCTTCTGCCTGGAATGTTCTTCCCCCAGATATATGCCTGGATTGCTCCCTCTCCTCTCAAGATGTCAGTTTCTCAATACGACCTACACTGACACCCCGCTAAAAATTTCAAGGAACCCTCACTCCCATCCCAGCCTGCCCAGCCCCCTTAACATATCCTATTTTTCCATAGCACTTGCCAGATGCTACCTATATAATCTACACGTGTCCATTGTTTATTGTCTATCTCCTTTCACTAGAACGTTAGCTCCTCAAGGCAGAGAAGTAGTCTGCTAGCTCTTGGCTGTATCCCCAGTGCTTAGAACAGTGCCTGCTACATAAAACTGCTCAATAAGTCTTTGTGGAATGAATGGATGATTCTCCCCCAATGTTGGGGAATGGGTGGGGCTCTAGGAGCATATCTGCTGCCAGTTACCCTACCATTTCTACCTCCAGCCCTTACCTGTTCCCAGGAAATACAGGAGTCCCCATATCAGGAGAGGAGGGAAGGGGCTCTCCCTGAGAGATTCTAACTCTTTCTGCCACAAATGGGAAGATCTATCTCCCAGCCCAGACAGGTCCAAGGGAAGCATTCCTCTGGGGCTGACAAGGCAGGGCCCAAGTGCTCAGGGCCTTGGAAACGTGACCAGCTGTGCCCTCCGAGGCCTGTGTGGTCATCAGGGTCATTTTTCCAGTCTGGGACAGGCCTGCCCTGAGCCCCAAACCCAGGTGAAAATCCAGTACCCTGCTGCTATGCTCTT